AAAAAAAATTAACTTAAATGATTTTAGCAAATGGCTGCAATATAACAAAGAGTGAAAAATTTAAGGGGGTCTAAATACTTTCCGTACCCACTGTATATCATAGGCCTGGTTTCACAGACAGAGTTTAGACTAAGTCAGGATTATGCCATGCTATCAATTAGGACATTTAAGTAATTTTTATAAACGTGCCTTAAAAAACATTACTAATGTGCATCTTGAGACAAAAGTGGTTCAGGTTTTTATACTCTTAAGAATGCCCTGCAACACAACATGGCACAGAGCTCATAACTAATTTGGAGTCTTGTGCAATCATATTTTTACTTATCCATTTCTGCAATAAAAATACAAATGTATTTTCTTTCATCTACGCTCTGCTTGCTAAACACTTTCTTCTGTTTTTGTGGTCTTGATAGGTAGCAGACCTGTCCCTGTGGCCTGTCAGCATTAAAGCATTGACAGGAAGTTGGTTAGTTTTGCAAAAATACATCTTGCGACTTCAGAAGAACTTGCCCTTTACTGGCAGTACATTGATACTGTTACCCACAACGTTCAGAAAGTTATCTGTGCACTCTAAAAAATTCTGGGTTAAATACAACCCAGTGTTGGGTAAAACGGACAAACCCAGCAATTGGGTTGTTTTGACCCAGCGGTTGGGTTAAATGTTTAACCCAACCTTCTGGGTAGTAACCCAACCGCTGGGTCAAAACAGCCCAATTGCTGGGTTTGTCCCTAATTTACCCAGCACTGGGTTGTATTTAACCCACCATTTTTAAGAGTGTGGGCTCATCCGAGCTACAGGAACTTTTGCGGCACATTTACACACCTTTGTTTGAGAACCAAGTTTACCTTTTAGCAACCCTCAGTAAAAGTCTTATCTTGCTGTGTATTGCATCATATACTTCCTCCAGTGCACTTATTCATTCAACAGAGCTGATGCACCATTAGTACAAGTGGTTACCTACCCTGTTATGAAAGGTCATCAATGTTGATTATGTGTTACCATGGTTGTCACTGAGAGATTTCTCTTGATATTGTTTTAATAATGCCATGCAATGCAATTTCTTTGTATTGAATGCAGTAAATAATCATTATAATCAAAGCTTTTCCATTGTGCATTCATGCAATTACCAGTTAATCTTTTACTGGTGTAATTATTTATTAAAAACACACGTGGTATTACTTCTGAGAAGAATGCAGTTGGCATTTAAGAACAGTTATTGACAGGGGTATGTCTTTGAGACGATTCGAGTGGGCGGGGCCAGCCGTGACTTTTCGCTATTCTCCTATTGGATTGTGAACTCATCATCAGAGCTGATCCTCACTGAAGAACAGCCAACGCCTCGGTAATTCACGGTTAACGTGAGGATTGCGGATAAGCGGATCCGGGTGCAGCTTTCGTTAAAAAGCCCGACATCGCCAGTGGAGCTTGACAGTGCCTTCTTTTACTGATAACATCGAGGAGCTTTCATTTATTTCGTCCTTTGCTGTGCTACCTGAGGTGGATGTATCGCCAGGTGCTCGTGATCGCGGTGTTCGCCGCTTTTCTATGCGGTTTTCCAGCATCATGCGCTCGTAATTTAAATTACAGACCCATCATCGGTAAGAAGAATAAAACGATTCATTTGAGCGCTTTTCTCACTTTTTAATATCCCGTGAACGTTTCAACTAGTGCATGATGTCTGATAGCTGATGTTGCGATATTGCATCTAGTATTCTCTAGGTGTTGCTCACTGGGTTTTTATTTTAATCGCAGTATCGTCCTCCGTTGCTAGAACGTTCTCGTTTCTTCTGGATTCTTTTTTTTACTCTTAAAAGCTTTGTCATTGCAACACGTTTTAAACATGCTTGGAAGACCACCTAACCTTGCCGAAAAAAAGATTAAACCAGCCAGTGGTTAACTGGTCTGTTTGATGGTTTTAAAAGGGTTGTGGGCTTTTGTGGTTGTGGCACCAGCTGTTAAACAACAGCCTGACTAGTCTGGAAAACAAACTAAACCAGCAAGCCAATACAGCCTTATGTTACCCTTATGAAAATTAACCATTGTTTTGTTCTAGTAAAAGTATATTAACCATGTTTTTTTGGCGGATTGATTACTATTTGTATACAGTAACCACAGTTTTACTACAAATACCATGGTTAAACTATGGTTAGTGTTGCAAAACCAAATGGTTTAACCATGTTTATTTTATTTGTAGTAAAACCATGGTTGATATTTGTAAGGGAATGTATAATATATATATCGTCACCTTGGAATTATAAGGTTCTATCTGCCATTTTTGTCAAAATTGATTGATTGAACTTATTTAGATTATGTGATTTATACATTTTTTTTATAAGTTGTGTACATTTTGGGACTGATGTATGAAAGAGACTTGTTCCTCATATCACATATCATTATATGGAATGCAAAAACTTCGCAAATGCATATAGAACCTTATAATTCCAAGATGACTATATATATATATATATATATATAAAATCTTTTTGTGTTTCAGGAATTTTAGCCCAGGAAAACTTGGAGGACGACCCTCATGCACAGGGATCTTCTTATATAGCTGCATCATATGTGAAGCACTTGGAGTCAGCTGGTGCCAGGGTTGTACCAATTCAGTATGTTAAACACAAGCTACAAGCTATTAATACAAATAAAATAAAAAATATAGATAAAGATAAATATGTATGTTTGCAGCATAAATCGCACCGAGGAGGAGTACGAAAAACTGTTCAACGCAATAAATGGGTGAGTGTTCCTGAATAGTTTGACACCTACCTAAGATGTGTACCTACATCCACCTACCGTAGATGTGTTTGGAACATGGAAGTTGGTTTATATTTGGTCCAACTTGTAAACCAATAGATAGATCAGCTAGAAACCAGATGCCATGCTCCAAAAACGGCTGTTTTAAAAAAAAAATCATATTTGTATTGATTGACTGCTTTTAACCCATTTAGTTTACTGCTGCCTGGTGGGAATGTGGACATTGAAAAGTCTCAGTTTACCAGAGCGGCGAAGGTTTTCTATGAACTTGCAATAAAGGTAAGTTCAAAAAATGGTCATGTGAAAATTAGTTTGACTTGATCTTGATGAGATCGATGTGCTTCGATGGTTCTTTTTTATTAACCACGACAGGCTAATGATGCTTCAGATTATTTTCCGATCTGGGGCACCTGCCAGGGCTTCCAGCAGCTCACGGTTCTGACCAGCAACAAGAACTTGTTGACCTTGACTGACACCAAAGCAGTCGCCCTGCCGTTGACCTTCAGCCCAGGTTGGTAACGGCAGGTTTTTCTCCAAATGTGTCACATTCTGGAATAGCAAACTCTTACTAGTATTACAGCACTGTTGTCCATTATAGTGATTACAAGTGACGATTAATGGGCGGGAACGTATGTGACCCTGGAGCACAAAAGCAGTGTTAAGTCGCTGGGGTATATTTGTAGGAATAGCCAAAAATACATTGTATGGGTCAAAATTATCGATTTTTCTTTTATGCCAAAAATCATTAGGATATTAAGTAAAGATCATGTTCCATGAAGATATTTTGTAAATTTCCTACCATACATATATTAAAACTTAATTTTTGTCATTATATGGAATGCAAAAACTTCGCAAATGCATATAGAACCTTATAATTCCAAGATGACTATATATATATATATATATATATAAAATCTTTTTGTGTTTCAGGAATTTTAGCCCAGGAAAACTTGGAGGACGACCCTCATGCACAGGGATCTTCTTATATAGCTGCATCATATGTGAAGCACTTGGAGTCAGCTGGTGCCAGGGTTGTACCAATTCAGTATGTTAAACACAAGCTACAAGCTATTAATACAAATAAAATAAAAAATATAGATAAAGATAAATATGTATGTTTGCAGCATAAATCGCACCGAGGAGGAGTACGAAAAACTGTTCAACGCAATAAATGGGTGAGTGTTCCTGAATAGTTTGACACCTACCTAAGATGTGTACCTACATCCACCTACCGTAGATGTGTTTGGAACATGGAAGTTGGTTTATATTTGGTCCAACTTGTAAACCAATAGATAGATCAGCTAGAAACCAGATGCCATGCTCCAAAAACGGCTGTTTTAAAAAAAAAATCATATTTGTATTGATTGACTGCTTTTAACCCATTTAGTTTACTGCTGCCTGGTGGGAATGTGGACATTGAAAAGTCTCAGTTTACCAGAGCGGCGAAGGTTTTCTATGAACTTGCAATAAAGGTAAGTTCAAAAAATGGTCATGTGAAAATTAGTTTGACTTGATCTTGATGAGATCGATGTGCTTCGATGGTTCTTTTTTATTAACCACGACAGGCTAATGATGCTTCAGATTATTTTCCGATCTGGGGCACCTGCCAGGGCTTCCAGCAGCTCACGGTTCTGACCAGCAACAAGAACTTGTTGACCTTGACTGACACCAAAGCAGTCGCCCTGCCATTGGCCTTCAGCCCAGGTTGGTAATGGCGTGTTTTTCTCCAAATGTGTCACATTCTGGAATAGCAAACTCTTACTAGTATTACAGCACTGTTGTCCATTATAGTGATTACAAGTGACGGTTAATGGGCGGGAACATATGTGACCCTGGAGCACAAAAGCAGTAAGTCAAGTCGCTGGGGTGTATTTGTAGCAATAGCCAAAAATACATTGTATGGGTCACAATTATCGATTTTTCTTTTATGCCAAAAATCATTAGGATATTAAGTAAAGATCATGTTCCATGAAGATATTTTGTAAATTTCCTACCATACATATATTAAAACTTAATTTTTGATTAGTGATATGCATTGCTAAGGACTTCATTTGGACAAATTTAAAGGCGATTTTCTCAATATTTAGATTTTTTTGCACCCTCAGATTCCAGATTTTCGTACGATAATAGTTGTATCTCGGCCAAATATTGTCCTATCCTAACACACCATACATCAATGGAAAGCTTATTTACTCAGCTTTCAGCTGATGTATAAATCTCTATTTAGAAAAATTTACTCTTATGACTGGTTTTGTGGTCCAGGGTCACATATAATAATGCATACTTCTATTGTTTGTGTTTATATAAGCATATTTATATACAGTTATTTCCAAAATGATAAACTGGATGTGCACCTCTACATTTGTAACACTTTCTAATTTTTATAAATAGGTGAACAAAAATGTCCAAAATTGCTAAGCACAGTTTGTGTTGTCTGGTTTACCAAAGTCATGCATTAGCTCATTAATGTTGTTTATTATGAGTTGATGTTTGGTCAATGATTTTGACTAATTACAGGAGCCCAAAACAGCAGGTTGTTTAAGAAGTTTCCAAAGGATGTCCTTCAGTCTCTGGCAGAAGAAAACATCACGTCCAATTTCCATAGCTGGAGCTTGTCCATGCAGGTACCAATTTAATGTTTTTTATGCATATGAGAATTTTTTTTCAGAAGTAATTTCACAATGCATACAGTGGAACAGAACCAACCCTGCTATCAAAAACAGAAATGTTGACTTCTGTATTTCTCACACTGCTTTTTTTTTTCATACTGACCAGCAGTGTTGGGAAAGTTACTTTTAAAAGTAATGCATTACAATATTGCGTAACTCCCTAAAAAAGTTAATAATTGCATTACTTTTTCTCACCTGGACTGGGCTTGCTAACAAATAATAAATTAATAACAGTAACACTCTTATTTGATCAAAAAGAAAAGAAAAGTGAGGTCAACAGTGAGATTAAATACAGAAAGTGCATTTGTGTTATTTAACCGGTTTAATTATCGCAGAATATTCTGACTGTTTTTATTCATTTCTAGGAATACTGAATCTGTTTTTGAGCAAGTGAGATCATGTTTACACAGGGCACACAATGCATCTGCACCTTTCTCACGATTTCTCTCAACATGAGGACAGGAGAGCTGTTAGCCAATAAATGGGAAAACAAAGTAATTGGCATTACTTATTTGAAAAAGTAACTCGAATATTTTATTGTAAATTTAAAAGTAATGCATTACATTACTAGTTACTTGGAAAAAGTAATCCGATTACGTACTTGTAATGCATTACCCCCAACACTGCTGACCAGTCACTGTATACCTCAACTATTGTTCTGTTCTTATTCGAGTTGTCTAAACATGATGTGCTCTTACAGAATTACAGCAGCAATGCCAAGCTTAAGCGTTTTTATCGAGTCCTGACTACAAATACAGACAGCAAGAAGGAGTTCATTTCCACCATGGAGGGTATGAATGCTACAGAGCATCTCTTTGTGTATGTGTGTGATGTAACCCATCATTCAGGCAGTCTCACCGTCAGCCGTTTCTCATTAAATTGAGTTCCCCCATAATACTGTGCTGTAGTGAGCTAATTGTACAGTTTTACATGTAGAAGTAAATATGTAGATGTTGGTTTGTTCAAATTTCCAGTAAGCGATCACTATGTAAATAATTACATTTGTATACTTGTATATTATTTGTGTGTTTCATTAAGCTCTGTCATATATCCTGTAGCGTATCGATATCCCTTCTATGTCGTTCAATGGCACCCAGAGAAAAGCCCATTTGAGTGGATTGAGAAAGCTGGCATGGTGCACACGCTCTCAGCCATCAAAGCCACTTTCTACACTGCCCACTTCTTTGTTTCTGAAGGTTGGTCTTCTAAAAAATGGAAATTACAATATGAAGATGAGAATCTCTCATCTTAACCCTTTTCATTTTACTTTATGGAACTTTACAGATCTTCTTTATGCACCAATAGCTTGTAACACTCCAAAGAGAAAGGAAAAATTGAAATTGCATCATATGACCCCTTTTAAAAAAAAGTCAGCGTTCAAGAAATGTTAAGCAGTATATTCTTTCTGACCACTTAATTTATACATTTATGTGCTAATGGTCTTTTTCAGCAATGAAAAACCATCATCGGTTTTCTTCGCAAAGCGAAGAAGAAAAAGCTCTGATTTACAACTATCAGCCTGTCTTCAAAGGCCTCAACAGCATCTTCCTGCAAAATTACTACTTTGATTAAGTGCTTACAGTATTCTTTGTGGCAGAAAAATTATTTATTTTATTTGTTTTTAAGTATTGTTTTTATTTCTTTGCTCAAAAGTTCACCAGAACCTGATGTTTGGAATGCTGGGATGCATAATTGTAACATTCATGCTTCTTATTCACTCATGTAGCTCTTGATTGTAGATTCTGGATGTAGATGTGAAGTGTTTTAGAATCATCATTGCTGAATGTATCGATGCGGTTATATCCAATTCAGAAGTCATATTATATATCTTCTAGTGCCATCGTTCAGAAGTTGAACATTGTAATGTTTCACAGGGTTCAGTAGCATGACCAATGCAATGTTAAAATGTTCTATTACTTTATCAATATCAGAGAAAATAAAATATGGATTTAAACTTTAATCTTGTTTTAACTGTTCAAAATCCTTAAATATAATTTAATTTGAGATGGTAATTCATTCAGTATTCAGTAGAGGGCAGCAGTGATAGTCTATACTTTGTGGTGCGTTTAAGAAGTGCCTGACAAGACTTCTCAAAACATTGATTTTATTGATTTTTTTTGCATTTTTAAGAGGCGGTATAACATAAAATTACCAGAAAACAACGAGATCTAAACCTCCTTACAATCAGATACATAAGCAGTTTGAGGTACAAAATCAAAATGGAGAAAGTGCAAATTTGCTAATAGCTCTCGTACCAGGACAGAAAGGTACAAAATAAGCGTTCAACACTGGCGTCAAACTCTCCTACGTCAAGGCTTAATAAACAAACAGAAATGTATGTATATAGAGCGTTCTGGAGTACTAACCATTTAAATCCGTAAAACATGAATGGTTTACGTTTGCTAAATTGTGTACAATGAGTTGACCCCTGACATGTGCATAGACACTACATTGTTTCATGCACTTAAAATTAAAAAGGAAAAGCCTTTCTATTGCGACAAATAAGATTGTTCTTTGACACATAGACTGTACCATAAACAAGATCATCACTATGATAGCTAATATGACACTTTTTTTGATTGTGATCACATTTACGTTTAAAAGATTGAACAATTTCAATGAACACTGAAAAGAAAATCATAAAAGATATCATTATTTAGCTCCATTCAACACATTTCTATATGAAAGATTCTTTTGTAGGGAGAATCTTGTTCTGCTTTGGAGGCCGTTGGTGCTGAGCAACGTTAAAGGTGCAATATAAAAAATATAATTAATAAATAGCGACATCAATCCAGTAAGGAGCAGCCATTCCGATGCACAATAAAGGAGCAAGGCAGGTAGGCGTCCATCCAGCATTCAGCATGTAAAAACACAATATGCAGCCTGCTTAACTGTAAATACTTGCATTGAAAGAAGTAAAAAATGAGAATTACTGATTATAGTGTATTAGAGAAACACTGTACATCTACAAAAAACCTTGGTACAATCTCTTTCCCAGATAGCACAGGTACGTCTGCAAGAGGTCTGCTGAAGATTGCTTCATCTGGAAAGCATCTGTTGTGTACAAACCTCTGATAGACGTCTTTAAGATGTCAGTTTTACATACATTCTAAATCATAAACATCTTAAAGACATCTTCTAAACGTCTATTTGACATCTGATAGGAAACGTCCTATAGATGAACTGGAGATGAGCAAACACTAAAAAAAAAAACACGCCTTCCAGATGTAAACACGCACATAGATGTCTCTGAGATGTACATGTGCTATCAGGGTTCTCGGTCTTCAAGTACACTAGTGTTTTTTTCTGTAATTCACCCAAAAGAAAAAATGTAGTCATTTAACTGCCTTAAAGCCGTTTCAAACCTTTATGCCATTTTTCCATGAAACAAGATTTGAAGAATCTTTACGCACAATTTCATAAAACTTCTTTTAAAGTCTGTGTAATGGCTTATTTTTTCAAGATTTTGATACCTTTATTTACTTGGCGGTTTTTTTTTTCATTCAAAGTTGGCTGGGTGGTTAATTTTTCTGTGGTGTCACAAACTCAGAACACATTTAATATTGCTTTACACAGACTTTTAATATGGCGTTAGGTTTCTACCACTGGTAAAAAAAAAAAAGAAAAAAAAAAAGTGAATTTATCAACTTTATTTTTTTTAATAGGCGGTCACTATGAACCGTTTTGTATGGAAACCAACTGTTGTGAAGATACTTCGAAAAAAAAAAAGTTTTTGTTCCACAGAAAAAGTAATGCTGCGTTCAAGTCCTCCTGGGACGTTCGTCCTTACGAGTTGACAAGTCGTAATTACAACGTCAGGTGCGTTCAAGTCGGTTTAGTCGGCACAAGATGGCGGTGTACCTTCTTTTAATAAATTACAAGAAAATACAACAGGGTCTGCATTTTTTTACTTGGATTTCATTAACTAGCTGCGTAACAAGAACATGACCAATTTAAGTTTATAGGACAACTAAACTATCAATTTAAACAAAAAATTCCCGTCAATTACAGACGTTGCATCCATCGATTCCGCCATGTTTCTCAATGACACGCCCCCAACTCGAAAACTCAGGGCTTAAAGAAAATTTCGAGTTTCTCACTCGTAATAACGACTTTGTGGTGGCGTTCATGTGCGTTCAACTCATAAATACGATCTACCCGACATGACTTGAACGCACCATAACTGCATAGATTTGGAACCACGTGTGCGAGTTACACGACATATTTCACGTTTTGGAGTGAACTATTGCTTCAACAGTGCAAGAGACAATTTTTCTAAGAAATTTGTAACAAATTTTAAATGATAAAATGCCTCACTGATTGTTTGACACGTTCGATTTAAATAAATTCTGCACTGAAAATTGTCATATCATACAAGTCGCATTTTAAAGCACTTTGAATTTAGTAATGCAGATAAAGAAAAACGTTATACAAGCCAAAAGACATCACATTTTATAAAGCAGATGTTTTGAAAAAGCTTGAAAATGTTTTGTGCCTTCATAGTCTGTAATGCGATTCTGCTTTCCCATGCCGTTTTTTCTGATTGTTTTTCCCGGGATTAAAGGTGCGTGTCTTCCTCCTGGTTGTCTTCTTCATCTTTCCCGGGCTTATTGACGAGCACCTGCCAACCGTTTCCCCCGTCCCCGCCCGCCGCCACCCCATTGGAGCTGTGTTTCTTCTCCTGCATCTCTGATTGGCTGTCGCTGGTTACATCCAGTGTAGGGTTGTCATGGCAACCGTTCTCCACAAAGTTAAGCTCTTCGCCTCTCGACTTCGGATGTGCCGTAAACCAGAAGAGACGAAAAAACACACAAGACAAATAGTAAATGAATTTGAACCCGAAACGCCATTCAGAGAATGTTGAGGTTAGTAATTAGAATTCGAGTCGCAAATTAATCGCGCTCGAGCTCTGTTGACTGCATCATTTGTCATTACCACAGAACATTTGGACTCTACCTCAGATTTTTTTTTTTAAAAGTAAACACCATATCAAAGACCTACCATGTTTTTGAGTTTGGGTAAACGACGCTGCCAGCAGATATAGATGATTCCAGAAGCAATAATGAGCACGCAAACCGATCCGATGATCACTAGAACCACAAACAGCTTGCCGTAGTCGCTACGGGTCTGACTGGGCCTCGAGTGGCACGTGTTCACGGTCGAATAATTCTGAATTCCGATCTGAATGAATTAATAATAGTAATTAAATAAAAAAAATTAATAATAAATATTTATTATACATATCCATATTGCATAAATTTATTTATTTTACTATTATTTGCTGCATTTCAGTCTCACCTCGTATAGACCTCTTCTGATTTCCCCCAGCATTGGCAGCACGTCTTTTGGAGGGATGATTTCTTCAGCGAAAAGACAGTATGAAAAGAAAATTAGACAAATACTATAGAATGTTTTTTAAGAAAGTGTGTAAACATAATCGAGAAAATTTTTTGTTTGTTGCATTGTGACAATAACAAATAAGCACGTTTACCCCTAAAATTCTCAGTAATGCAATCCACAAAATTATTGTTAAGATGTTCACAAATATTCACAAATCTCAGTGCAATATAGTAAACAAAAAATATTAAATACATCATAAAATTGTGTAACCAATAAATAAAAATACAGTAAAATGAGCATAAATAAGTTGTATTTATGTGAAAAAAACATAACATTTGTCAAAAAAAACACCTTGAAATGTAATATAAAATGCAAAAACAAATAAATATATGATCATATAATTACAGTATATATGCTTTAATGCATCATAAATAAATACAGTAAAATTGAAATATAAATGCACGAATATGTAATATAGTGGACAGTATGAAAAAGATATGAATTAATGTAATAAATAAAAATAGAATAAAATATGAGCATACTGTACATAAGATGTAAATTGTATTTATATAAAACAGAATTAACATGGAATTCGTCAGAAAATGCACCCTGAAATGTGATATAACAAACAAAATCAAGTAAATACATTTATGGTGATATAATTAAATACCAATTGATGATTGAAAGGAAAAGTGACATAAAAATATCCTTTGAAATAAACTATGGGGCCAAATGAAGCTCTCTACAGACAGAGAACCAGTGACCCACCTAAAAAAACAGGTCTGCTTTGTCGGTCACTGAGACGTCATGTCTGAGATGTTTCTCCACCTCACGTTTGCGCCCAAGAGGCTCAGACGTCCTCTGAACAGAAATCAGACTCAGTTTTCCAGCGCTGAGTCATTCAGACGGAGACTCCGAGCTCTCGTCCAGTGGGATGGATTGGTTTCTGATCAATGCCTCTGCAGTGCCGCTTGGGTTCAAAGCAGGGCTCCATCGCAGGAGATTTGGCAGTTTAGCACGCAGCTGTCGGAGCACCGGCGGGGGGAAAGTTCTCCATGATCATGCTGCAATTACGTGGCACTGGAGCGTTACCGTGGCAACAGAGAATCGGCTTCTACGCCAGCGAGAAGGTGTATGTGCCAATGAAACATCACAGGGTCGCTGTTGTGTTCTCACACAAGTGTTGTTTGATAATGCATTGAGTTAGTGTTCAGTGATGCATCGAGTCTGATTGTGCTGAAAGCATTCTGTCATGCCTGAGCAATGTATGTGTTCGCTTACTGGGGTCTGAAACAGAGAGGTTAAGTAAAAAGATACGATAAGTTGATGTTACTCGCTGTCTCGGTATGAGCCTTATCAAACGCAACAGTCGTGTTAGACAGTAGTAAGATTCAACAGAGAACTGAAGCCTCGATGTTTCTTCTAAACGAAAGACGCTGGGAAACTCACGTGTCTCCTCTCAACAATGTCTCAAACTGCAGTGATCCGAGTCAAAGACAGTGCTGTTATCATTGAATAAAAGTAAAAATACTAAAACAAAAAACCTTAATTGAAATGAATTACATTAAAAAACAAGACATTAAGAATTAATTCCCACGACTGATTAATTTATTCGTTTCCTAAATTTAGTAAGTCACAGCCACATTGTACTAATTTGTTCCCTCATTTTAATTTAAATTTAAATGAGGGAACGAATAAGTACAACATGGCCACGATTTACTGAAAAGAGAGAACAAATAGATCAAACGTGGCCATGAATTAGTAAGTCGAGGAAACAAATTGTTAGTTCATCGACACAATATTAATTTTTTTATCTGCATGTAATGTGTGGGACTCTATATATTTCAGTTAGTTGCGAAGGCGAATTAAAAGTTTTGTTTAAAGTTGAAGTACTAAAATTACTAAAAGTAAAACTGAAATAGAAACTAATTAGACAAAGAAAACTAATAAAAAGGACTAAAACACAACATAATTGCTACAAATTTAACTAAAATTAAAATGAAACTATAAAACCAACTTAAAATAATAATAAACCATAAGATAGTGTCGTAATGAAACTAAAATAACACTGGTCTGAGATCTCAAAATGAACGTTTCTCATCAAATTGTCATAAATCAAGTGATCTGCTTATGATATCTACAGTGGTGTGAAAAAGTGTGAGTGTGAGTGTGAAGTGACATGTGGCCAAGTATGGTGACCCATACTCAGAATTAGTGCTCTGCATTTACCCATCCAAAGTGCACACACTCAGCAGTGAACACACACCCGGAGCAGTGGGCAGCCATTTATGCTGCGGCGCCCGGGGAGCAGTTGGGGGTTCAGTGCCTTGCTCAAGGGCACCTCAGTCATGGTATTGAAGGCTGTACATTCACTCCCCCCACCTACAATCCCTGCCGGTACGAGACTCGAACCCACAACCTTTGGGTTATGAGTCCGACTCTCTAACCATTAGGCCACGACTTCCCCCAGTGTTTGCCCCCTTCCTGATTTCTTATTTTTTTGCATGTTTGTCACACTTTAATGTTTCAGATCATCAAACTAATTTAAATATTACACAAAGATAATGCAAGTAAATACAAAATGCAGTTTTTAAATGATGATTTCATTTATTAAGGGAAAAAAGCTGTCCAGACCTACGGGGCCCTACGTGAAAAATTAATTGCCCCCTCCTGTTAAATCATGAAAGAACTGTAATTAACCACATTATTTTAGAAAGCCGAGTTCAATTTCACTAGCCACACGCAGGCCTGATTACTGTAAGAAATCATCATTTAAAAACTGCATTTTGTATTTACTTGTATTATCTTTGTGTAATATTAAAATTTGTTTGATGATCTGAATCTTTTAAGTGTGACAAATATGCAAAACAAAACAAAAAAGGGGGCCAACACTTTTTCACACCACTGTACATCTTTACTCTTATATGACAATTATTAAATCAAAATGAATGGGACTATCAAGCTCCAAAAATTACAGAAAACTACCACAAAACCACCGTAAATGTTGCCAATATGACTTGTGCACTATATTTTAAGTCTACAGAAGCCATATGATTACTTTATGTGAAGAACAGATACTGCTGTGAATGGGTGCCGTCAGAACGAGAGTCCAAACAGCTGATAAAAACATCACAAGTAATCCACACCACTATCAGTTAATATCTGGGGAAGACAAAAGCTGTGTGTTTGTAAGAAACAAATCCATTATGAAGACATTTTTAACTTCACACAATTCCTCTGTCCATAATATTGCTTTCTCCAGTGAAACATTTTGTCTGAATCAGGAAAGAAATATGCACAGATCAAGCACCATTTATAAGTAAACTAATATGTGGATGGATTTTGATGTCAGAGGACAACAGGGGATGGATTTTTTCTTACTGAAGGAAGCGTTATTATGGATTATCATATTTTGGCCAGAAGCCAAATTTGTTTCTTACAATTGCGCGTCTTTATGCTTCTCAAGATGTTAGTTGATGGACTGGAGTGGTGTGGCTTATTGTGATGACTCTCATTCTGACGGCACCCATTCACTGCAGAGGATCCATCAGTGATCGTGATGGAAAAACTGATTTTTATGAAGAAAATGCAAGTGGTTTGCGTATGCAAGAACAATGTGTGGCTGGGTTAGGGTTAGCTAAAGAGTTCTGGGTTGGGTTTTGTTAAAAAAAGAAAAAAAAAAGGCACTTACACAGTCAAAGTTGTCCGTCATGTTGAGTATAACGTAGCCCTTTCCTGCGAGGTTGCTCCAGTCGACGCAAATCACCTGCACAGAGAAACAAAAAGGGTGTTTAGCAGTCGAAGGATCGCAGTGAATTGTTGTGGTTTAACCAAAACGCTCGCTGACAACCTGCCGTGCTGCCTGGAAAACAAAACTATAAACGTATTTCTCTTCCAACGCAGTCAGATAAAATCAATCATCTGTGAAATCATTCCACAAAGACACAACATATTTCATCCAAACAAACAATTGAGAATTTTATAGTAAGAACCACCTGTAGAATTCAAACTTGTTTTGTGGATATTTTTAGAAGTTGAAATGAAAAAAAAAACAGTACATAACACTACTTCTTACCAGCGTTGTTATTGTTAGCTAAAATGAAAACTATTAAAGATAATTTTTGAAATTCGGAGGGTGACATAATATATAGACAATAGATGAAAAACTGAAAATCAGAAATATTGCCTTGGCACTTACTGAAATAAATATCTTTAAGATGAAGTACTAAAATTAAAACTAAAATAAAATTGAAACTGAAATAAAAATAAATTAAACAATTAAATTTAAGACAATTTCAATTTAAAATTTAAGACAAAACGAAAGTACTAAAACTTATAAAAACTGAAAATATAAAAATAAAAACGAACCCAAAATATGAATAAATACTATAATAACACTGATTCTTTCAAGGCATTTCTTGTTATTATATTTATACATTATTTCATATCAAAATTAGATTTTTCTATTTGTCATATTTATAATTAGACATAATAATAGTAAGAAATGTATAATAATTTTAATATTTAATAATATATATTCATTATTTAAAATGTTATATAATATACAGGTATACAATAAAGATACTTTTATATATTCACATATAAATATATTTATATATAAATAAATATATTAAAATAAAAAATATATTTTATTCAATGGTGCATATTTTTATTTTTGAGCAGAGAGTATCTGACCTACAGCTGAATTCTGAATTCTTTGGACATTTAATGCAAGAAGGAATATATTATTGCATATATTATTGTATTATATTATTACAGAGCTCAATTAATTTGTTATTTTCTGCCATTGAGTACCTGCTCGGCCTCCTGTGACAGCTCTGAGTCGTGAAGCTCCGTTTCGGCGAGATATTCGGTGCCGCCGTGACGAAGCTCCACCCCCTCCTCATCCTCCGTTGTGGTGAGCGGCGCCCCCTGCCAGGCGGTTTCGGTGAAGACCACGGGCGGCAGGTCTGAAGTGGGGGAGGATGAGGGTCCGGTTGTGAGCGGCGTGAGGTACCGCCATTCGTCCTCTTCCTCCTCATCCAGTGCGGTGGGGAAAACCACCAACTCTTCCTCGTCCTCCTCTTCCTCAGAATCATCCAGGTGTGGTTTGTCAGACTGCAGGGGCTCCCGGCTGGGCAGGGGGCCGATTTCAGTAGCCGTGGGCGCTTGTGTTACCTCATGGCCCCTCTCGTCATCAAACGGGTCGTCAGATGTCAGATGCCTGTCAGGCCCAGCTGTGGCCTCTGGCTGGTTCTGACGTGCGAGTCCAAGGAGACGAGGCATGGCAGTGGAGTGGGCGTGGTCTTGGGCACCTGCGATTGACGGCCCCGGGGAGGGGTGCAGAGAGAAGCCACTCGATTCTGAATCACTCTCCCACCGCTCCGGGTCCACAGACTCAGTCGTAGGGACAAACAATGAGGAAGAGAGGTTCGTCACAATGGGCTTTTGGCTCAGAGAAAGTGGTGAAGATGGTGGTTCTGGGGATGAAGGGCTGTAATCTATGATGAAATAAAGCAAGAAAAGTTGTAAACATTTCAGAGACAAAGTACACAAACTCTAGTATTCTAAACTATACTGTGCTAAACTGAACTATTCTAAATTATGTTTATACAAAGCTATAACTGTATAGTTGGTATTTGTAGTTGGTTTTTCAAGTTTGGTAGTATTGGGATTTAGAGACCAACCGATACTGACTTTATATGATTGATACAATACCGATTATTTTAAAATGTAAGTGTTTGAGAGCCAAAAATTATTTCTTTATTTATGCTGTTAGACTACATCAGGGTTATTATAGTTAACTAAAACTAAAAACATAAAAAAATTTAGTTACTTGGAAAAAAATTTACAAAACTAAATTTTTTCAGTAGAACATGTGAAATCCCTAAATCGAAAAAATCTAGCGATTTAAAGCAAAAACGAATTATGAAAATACTTAAAAAAAAATAAAAATAAACAAAACAACCCAATTTTTAAAAACTTTTTCTAACATTTAATTGAAATTAGAAAATATAACAATAAAACCATTTAAATATATTATTAAAAACTAAAATAGTGCATTAATGAAACTAAAACAACACTGGACAACGCCAATAAAATCATTATATGCATTACCGATATTTAGCAATATGATATATAATAATAATTAACTATATTAAAATATTTTAATGTTTTTAATATGAAATATTACTTTTTATTTATGCAATTATATTGATGCAAAGTTGTGATATAAATAGTCATAAACGTATTTTCATCTTTCTTTTGGGCTACATCTAAACATAGCTTAACATTGTCTTTAGAGACCCATTATTTATCGGTAGACTTAATATTAAACAACCGATAACCTAAGTTTAAAAGTGTGAATATCGGTAAAAGTATGAATATCGGCCATCTCAAGTGGGATACAGAAAGGTCAAAGATGCCAAAGTCTTGTATAATATAGCAAAGCCTAAAGTATACTAAAGCATATTAAAAGCATGTTATATTATTGCATAACCTTGTAAACATTTAGTTTGTTGAGTTTTACATGATAGTTCATTGATATAGAGCAATCAAGTACATGATTACAAAACACTGATTAAGAAAATGCTGTTTTCACAGTATAGTATAGTATAGTAGGATGAGGTTGTTTAGTAAGTTCTGACGGGAGCATGCTGTCTTATTCATCTTAAGTTTCTTGAGTACAGCAGATTCGAGCAGCTGCACTGCAGCACTGCACCTGCGTTTGGCACAACACACACATCAGGGACCCGAGAGCTCTCGAACGCAGCCTGATTATTCATGAGACACACACACTGCCACACTGAAACGCGCTGTAATGAGGAGAGCTATTGTCTAGAGTCAGCAGGAGAGAGACGATATATCTATACTTTATCAAGAAAATTATCATAACTGGATGTAATAAAAAAAAAGCAGCATACCAGAGACTGTGTGGCAAGCTTTTGCACACTCCTCCAGTGACCGGAAGTTATTGCGATTCTCTCTGCAGCCCCCAAATATGAAGTTTTCACACTTTTTAGTGACGGGGTTAAAGTGCCAGCGAGGGATCGCCCCACGACAAGGTCCCACCTTCTTGGGCATCAGACAGCGCTCTGAGAGCAAAAACAAAGAAATACATCTACTACTTCTGAAAGCATCTTTTAGAGAACAATAACACAACTGCAAATTTGACAGCAACAGAGTCATCGCCTAAGATCCAGTGGAATCATTCCTCCCTCCGTTCAATTACTGAACTGCTACTGGCTTGGGATGAAAAGCATCAGGTAACTGGAGGTCTTCACACTAATTAAAGACAGTGGATGTGTGAAACGGACAAGAGGAATGAAAACTCTTGTGAGAGTAGACAAAAAGAGCACAGGGATGGATAGATAGATAGATAAGACAAAAATCTAGACAGATATAGACAACAATAGATATATATCAATAGAACGATATATAGATAGAACAACAGATAGATAGATGTCTAGACAAAAATCTAGACAGATACAGACGATAGATACATACATAGATAAGATAGATAGAACAACAGAACGATAGATAGATAGAACGACAGATAGATAGATAGATAGATAGATAGATAGATATATAGATAGATAGATAGATAGAACAACAGAACGATAGATAGAAATCACTAAATCGAAAAAATCTAGCGATTTAAAGCAAAAACGAATTATGAAAATACTTTAAAAAAATAAAAATAAACAAAACAACCCAATTTTTAAAAACTTTTTCTAACATTTAATTGAAATTAGAAAATATAACAATAAAACCATTTAAATATATTATTAAAAACTAAAATAGTGCATTAATGAAACTAAAACAACACTGGACAATGCCAATAAAATCATTATATTCATTACCGATATTTAGCAATATGATATATAATAATAATTAACTATATTAAAATATTTTAATGTTTTTAATATGAAATATTACTTTTTATTTATGCAATTATATTGATGCAAAGTTGTGATATAAATAGTCATAAACGTATTTTCATCTTTCTTTTGGGCTACATCTAAACATAGCTTAACATTGTCTTTAGAGACCCATTATTTATCGGTAGACTTAATATTAAACAACCGATAACCTAAGTTTAAAAGTGTGAATATCGGTAAAAGTATGAATATCGGCCATCTCAAGTGGGATACAGAAAGGTCAAAGATGCCAAAGTCTTGTATAATATAGCAAAGCCTAAAGTATACTAAAGCATATTAAAAGCATGTTATATTATTGCATAACCTTGTAAACATTTAGTTTGTTGAGTTTTACATGATAGTTCATTGATATAGAGCAATCAAGTACATGATTACAAAACACTGATTAAGAAAATGCTGTTTTCACAGTATAGTATAGTATAGTAGGATGAGGTTGTTTAGTAAGTTCTGACGGGAGCATGCTGTCTTATTCATCTTAAGTTTCTTGAGTACAGCAGATTCGAGCAGCTGCACTGCAGCACTGCACCTGCGTTTGGCACAACACACACATCAGGGACCCGAGAGCTCTCGAACGCAGCCTGATTATTCATGAGACACACACACTGCCACACTGAAACGCGCTGTAATGAGGAGAGCTATTGTCTAGAGTCAGCAGGAGAGAGACGATATATCTATACTTTATCAAGAAAATTATCATAACTGGATGTAATAAAAAAAAAGCAGCATACCAGAGACTGTGTGGCAAGCTTTGGCACACTCCTCCAGTGACCGGAAGTTATTGCGATTCTCTCTGCAGCCCCCAAATATGAAGTTTTCACACTTTTTAGTGACGGGGTTAAAGTGCCAGCGAGGGATCGCCCCACGACAAGGTCCCACCTTCTTGGGCATCAGACAGCGCTCTGAGAGCAAAAACAAAGAAATACATCTACTACTTCTGAAAGCATCTTTTAGAGAACAATAACACAACTGCAAATTTGACAGCAACAGAGTCATCGCCTAAGATCCAGTGGAATCATTCCTCCCTCCGTTCAATTACTGAACTGCTACTGGCTTGGGATGAAAAGCATCAGGTAACTGGAGGTCTTCACACTAATTAAAGACAGTGGATGTGTGAAACGGACAAGAGGAATGAAAACTCTTGTGAGAGTAGACAAAAAGAGCACAGGGATGGATAGATAGATAGATAAGACAAAAATCTAGACAGATATAGACAACAATAGATATATATCAATAGAACGATATATAGATAGAACAACAGATAGATAGATGTCTAGACAAAAATCTAGACAGATACAGACGATAGATACATACATAGATAAGATAGATAGAACAACAGAACGATAGATAGATAGAACGACAGATAGATAGATAGATAGATAGATAGATAGATAGATAGATAGATAGATAGATAGATAGATAGATAGATAGATAGATAGATAGATAGATAGAACAACAGAACGATAGATAGATAGATAGATCAGAACGATAGATAGATAGATAAAGAGAACAACAGAACGATAGATAGATAGATAGATAGATAGATAGATAGATAGATAGAACAACAGAACGATAGATAGATAGAACAACAGAACGATAGATATAGATAGATAGAACAACAGAACGATAGATATAGATAGATAGATAGATAGATAGAACAACAGAACGATAGATAGATAGATAGATAGATAGATAGATAGATAGATCAGAACGATAGATAGATAAAGAGAACAACAGAATGATAGATAGATAGATAGATAGATAGATAGAACAACAGAACGATAGATAAATAGATAGATAGATAGATAGATAAACAGATAGATAGAACAACAGAACGATAGATAGATAGATAGAACAACAGATAGATAGATAGATAGATAGATCAACAGAACGATAGATAGATAGATAGATAGATAGAACAACAGATAGATAGATAGATAGATAGATAGATAGATAGATAGATAGATAGATAGATAGATAGATAGATAGACAGATAAGACAAAAATCTAGACAGATACAGACACCAATAGATAGACATCAATAGAACGATATATAGATAGAACAACAGACAGAATGATAGAATGAATAAAGGATAGATAGATAGATAGATAGATAGATAGATAGATAGAACAACAGATAGATAGATAGATAGATAGATAGATAGATAAGACAAAAATCTAGACAGATACAGACACCAATAGATAGACATCAATAGAACGATATATAGATAGAACAACAGACAGAATGATAGAACGAATAAAGGATAGATAGATAGCAAAATGCCTAAATAAACATCTAGATAGACAGAATGATAGAGACTTTCTTTTGCTCAGTCTATCTATTTCCTAAACAGATAAATGCTCATTTTGAGGAAGTGCAGGCACAGAGCCAGGAGATAACACCACACCTGGAAGTGTCTTCACACACACACACACACACACACACACACACACACAAGCTCTCAGTCATAGTTGTGTCCACCTGTCTCTCCATATGGCTGATCAGTCAAGCCTGTCTGCGGTGTGACTCATTCAGCAGCGGTTGAGTGTGACGGGCTCTTGTGTTCACGCTCAGATTTACTGTGTGCGCAAATTCACTCATCTTCCATATGTGCGCTTGTGTAAAACAATTAACCAAACATTTTCAAGTTTGTCTCAAGTTCTAAAGCAGATAGTTGTGTTGTTGTCTTCAGGTCCATCCAGTGCACCCACAGAGACCAACTATTAATCTAAAAATGTTTCATAAGAAAGCGTCAGTGCGAGTGAGTTACGTGCCAAGGTTTAATATGTAGGATTATGGGTTTGTTCAAATCACAAATTTGAGAAATTAAAACAGTAATGTCTCACTTAGCATGCAGCGTGAGTGTGCCAGTTGAATCAAGCTGATATCCACCAGAGAAAATCAAAAAATGTCACACTCCTCATGGCAGAAAATCATTGGACAGCTCCGTCCTTCTCTCGGTCTCATACGCACACACCGGAAACAGGCCACTGCGGTTAGCGAGCTAGCAGGTGAACTAAAAATAATACTGTTTTCAGGCACATTAATTCCCAGGCGTTGTGTAGAAAGTGGGTATATTTTCACTACTCACTGCTGCCAAACACGTCCACGACCGCAGGGTGGACTGAAGAAACATCAGTGGAATTGTTAAAGCCGACAAAACTCTAATCAACAAAAATAAGGTAAACATCAGGAGGGGACTGCAGGTGTCGAGGAAATGACGCACGATAATGAGTCCTAAAAGCTGTTGTTCACACCACTTTACAACTCTTAACTGCCTCTCATTTTTGCGAGTTAAATAACTGTGTCTAGAGGCTGAGTCATACAGAGATGAATCTGTCGTCATTCAGTGCCTTTGTTGCACAATTTACAGGTGCAGCATAATTTTGCAACCATTTTCGAACATAAATATGCAACCAAATTTCAATAGGAAATGAATCGAGTCAAATAATTGTCAGAGCAAATATATTTACACATATAGCTGATAAATGTCAAGCACTTGACCCAATTTCGAATGTAATATTGCAACCAAATTTTGCTCGTAATTAAGTCAAATCGTTGTCAGAGCGAATACTGTATTAACACCCCGAGCTGACAAATGATAGGTACTTGACCTTTTCAGCCGTAAATATGCAACCAAATTTCGTTCATAAATAAATTAGGTCATATAGTTGTCAGAGCGAAAGTATTAACATCCCTAGTTGACAAAAGTGAAGTACTTGACTCATTTTTGATCGTAAATATGCAACCATATTTTGTTCATAATTCAATCACATCAGATCACCGTCAGAGCAATTTTGGTTGCAAAAAAACAACAACAAAAAAAAACTTCGGTTTTGTCATATGGGGAGAACTACGAAAGACCAACATTGTGTCATAACCATGTACCCATGTAACCATGACACAAAGCCTGAAAGCTTATTCTGGAAGATCTCAAAGTAAAGATCTTTGGCCTTTAAAAGCACAGAACAATAGGACAATGATCCAAAGCACAAGCAAAGGCTTTGGTTTAATGTCTTAGGGGGCTTAAAATAATTAACATTGATGAAAAATGATTGATTTGACTGTACTTACATAATCATATGAGAACAAAACAATTGAACTGAGCTGGATAATTATTGATTTGACTGTACTGACATTATCGTATGAGAACAAAACAATTGAACTGAGCTGGATAATTATTGATTTGACTGTACTGACATTATCGTATGAGAACAAAACAATTGAACTGAGCTGGATAATTATTGATTTGACTGTACTGACATTATCGTATGAGAACAAAACAATTGAACTGAGCTGGATAATTATTGATTTGACTGTACTGACATTATCGTATGAGAACAAAACAATTGAACTGAGCTGGATAATTATTGATTTGACTGTACTGACATTATCGTATGAGAACAAAACAATTGAACTGAGCTGGATAATTATTGATTTGACTGTACTGACATTATCGTATGAGAACAAAACAATTGAACTGAGCTGGATAATTATTGATTTGACTGTACTGACATTATCGTATGAGAACAAAACAATTGAACTGAGCTGGATAATTATTGATTTGACTGTACTGACATTATCGTATGAGAACAAAACAATTGAACTGAGCTGGATAATTATTGATTTGACTGTACTGACATTATCGTATGAGAACAAAACAATTGAACTGAGCTGGATAATTATTGATTTGACTGTACTGACATTATCGTATGAGAACAAAACAATTGAACTGAGCTGGATAATTATTGATTTGACTGTACTGACATTATCGTATGAGAACAAAACAATTGAACTGAGCTGGATAATTATTGATTTGACTGTACTGACATTATCGTATGAGAACAAAACAATTGAACTGAGCTGGATAATTATTGATTTGACTGTACTGACATTATCGTATGAGAACAAAACAATTGAACTGAGCTGGATAATTATTGATTTGACTGTACTGACATTATCGTATGAGAACAAAACAATTGAACTGAGCTGGATAATTATTGATTTGACTGTACTGACATTATCGTATGAGAACAAAACAATTGAACTGAGCTGGATAATTATTGATTTGACTGTACTGACATTATCGTATGAGAACAAAACAATTGAACTGAGCTGGATAATTATTGATTTGACTGTACTGACATTATCGTATGAGAACAAAACAATTGAACTGAGCTGGATAATTATTGATTTGACTGTACTGACATTATCGTATGAGAACAAAACAATTGAACTGAGCTGGATAATTATTGATTTGACTGTACTGACATTATCGTATGAGAACAAAACAATTGAACTGAGCTGGATAATTATTGATTTGACTGTACTGACATTATCGTATGAGAACAAAACAATTGAACTGAGCTGGATAATTATTGATTTGACTGTACTGACATTATCGTATGAGAACAAAACAATTGAACTGAGCTGGATAATTATTGATTTGACTGTACTGACATTATCGTATGAGAACAAAACAATTGAACTGAGCTGGATAATTATTGCAGTTATTGCGTGCTATAGTCAGAATGTGTGATCCTGTTGTGGATGCGCTCTTCCCATATCAACGCGCTGAAACACAGCAACTAAACCCGAAGAATGCACAACGTTTTATTATAATAATGTTCTCATTAGAATGTTATATACACAACATTCCCAATCATAGTTATTAATGTTGTGCACTGCTGTTTGAGCTGCGTGTGCTGAGCTAAAGACGATCACCGGTAAACTGAAGCGCTCTTTTAACTTAACCAAATGCATTCTATATGAGATAAATCAGATATACATCAAATAAACACAATATTACAACGTACAATTGCACAAAAGGCTACAAACGAACAGCGCGCATCTGAAGTGTCTCTGAAGGAAATAATGCATTATTTATCGGCTTTAAGATATCGGCCAAATTTTCTTATCAGGCCGATACCGATAACAGAAAAAATGAGCATTTATCGGCCGATACCGTTATGGTGGCCGATATATCGTGCATCCCTAGTTTACATAGACAAACTTGATGACTTTCGAGTAACATGCCTGAATCATGTTTTGACTTACTGCTTCTACTCACCATTCATGGCACTTAGGTCAACACCGCTGTCTTTGGTCTCGATTTGAGCGTTCTTGCCATCCTCACTGTCTTCGCTGAAGAATCCAGAGCTCTCCTGAGAACTCTCCATGAAGCCAGGCCTGCGATCCCTCGAGACCTCATCGTGTTCCTTAAAGCCTTCGGGAACATCCAGAACTGGCCCGTGGGAGCGGAGAGGGTTGGGTAGGAGTGCTGGACCAGCGCTCAGAACCTCGGCACACACCAAAACCAGGAAAACTGAACCTAAACGAAAGGAAAAGAGATTTAAAAAGCTCACTTTTTGAACTCGGCCTCATTGAATACACAGATCAAAATCAGCACTAATGAACCAAACCAACTCTTTCACCGCAAATGAATTATTCTTAATAGCTTCAACAGTGACAGATGGTTTCAAGGATGTATATAGATCCATCAAACTCTGACTGGAGACATCTTGAGTCCTGGCCCCGATGGGCTTCAACCACAGATGGTTCCCTATAACGGCGGCTTAGTGTTGTCTCTCAAACCACGCGGTCTTATCTTTCCTCGCCCTACCAGGTCACCACAGGATTAGTGCTGGTTTTATCATTGGACAGCCGAAAAAGGCGACAACTGGGGGGGGCAACTACCCTTCTGTTGGAGCTAAGTTGGAGTTTCAAAGCCAATTACACAGTTCTCTAATTCTGACACGGCTTTAGTTTTTATTCATGGATCAGTTTAATGAAATATATTCTCTAGCGAGGCTTGGTTTAATTAAGGAGACCAGCAGGCGTACGCCTCGGTAACTCTGGTATTATATCTAGCAAGTGTGTGTGATTGTGTGGTAATTAACAGGATGGAAAAACCGGGTACTTCCTGCTCCAATTTATGAATTGATCAACTTTGCTTTCTGGAAACGTTCCAGTGGTTTTACAGACCCGGGACGGCCAGTGAACTCAAGCCATGCAATGCTGCGGAAACTTTCAAAATGGGATATTGCTGGAGAGTATAATACCAAATAACCAAATTACATTTACTTAGTAAATTAAAGAGAATTAAAGATTAAGAGACTACTTTGTTTTTCGACAAACATTCTACATTTATCAGTAATGCTACATTCTATTCTTGGAACTCGGAAGTCTGACGATCCAGCGTTCAACTTGGGAAAAGTGCAACGAAATGTCACTTGTACACCTGCAGAATAAGAGCTATAAAAAAATTGGACATTATACAACTACTTTGCTGCCATGGCACTTTCTTATTTGCTTCAAATAAGGCGCGAAAACTCAATGCACAGGCTTGATGTCGATGATGCCGAACGCCATTGGTTCTTGGAAATGATCCAAATTATATTTTAGAGATTATCAGTGAATAATTACTTTGTGTCTGATCTTAATGCAAAACTATTAGGCAACTTCAAAAGACTTGGAATACAATGCACAAGTCATATGGACTTTCATCGTACCTCTATTGTCGTTTTTAGAACTTCACAATCCCTACATGGTCACTGGTCAACAATGGTCATAGCAGTTTACAACAAAAAGACTAATTACAGAATTCAAATTTTGGGGCTTTTCCTCCAAGTTTATATGCTTCCTAAACATGTACCACCGAATAAACCAGCCCAAAAGTGACGTAACGAACACAGAGTCACCTCTATCTCTGTGATGTATGTCCTTAGAAACCGTCAACGTCCCACCCCAGTAGATCACATTAATTATGGTTGACGCAATCGTATTGTGCCTCAGTGGACTCGGGTTTCTGCCAGGCTACTTCTGACCTCGGTTGAACAGCGAATAAAGAATGTGAATTTGCTGACGGCTGCTCCTTGGCCTTGTGCCCCAGAGATGCTCTCAAAGTTTGGACACACGTTAGATGGTACATTAATCATAAATGCTAATGAAACTCATGAAGATGAATCATTTGCACATAAACTTGAAAAACAAAAGAAGACCTTTAACAACTGCAGAGAGACACAACTAAAAAGAGGACATATTTTGCTAAAAATGTTTGTAAGAAGAACTTAAAAAAAAATGTCCCTTTACTCGGTTCTCTGAACTAATAAAAATCTACTTATTTATGCTTATCATTTAATATTTAGTGCGTTTCCTGAGACAAATAATATATCCCAAAAATATTTCCAACGTCGGGATGAAAATACAGGATATCTGGTCATTTAAGTTCTTATTTCAGGAAGATTTGATGTTTACAGAAAATAAATAAATAAATGAATAAAAACTGTTAATAACCTATCTACATCATGTCACTCCAAATACATAAGCAATAAATATCATGAAAATAATGTCACATGGCTCAAAAAAATCCAAATGGTAATGAATATGAATCAGACATGTTCTTGACATCTTCTACACTGTGGTTTCATATCATAGCAGTCGCAGCATGTCCAGCGCCCACCTGTTTCTGTCTGACTTATTTCAGATGTCTTAAAATAGTGCACATTCATCCGTTCAGACCAAGACGCCACAATCCTTTGCCATCTGATACGAACACGGATCCGTCACATAGCAGCTATTGTACTAAATATATGAGCAGTTCAGCCAGCGCCAGTATCAGACTCTCTCTGAAAGAGACGAGGAGCCTGAACACAGAATAAAATGATTCATAAATCATCAAACCCGACAAAGCTTGGCCCAATTTGAAGTGTGAGCCACCTGGGCTTCAGCAACACACTGTGAATGCATACAGCAGCCAATTATTTCTCTGTCTAAAATCCTCTCTATCTCACCTCTCGGAGAAAAAGCCACATCTCATACGAGCGACTCAAGTCAAGACGGGCTCAGCGGCGAGAGAAATGCTGATGTCACCTGACCTGAATGGGTTTCTGGGCTGTGCCAGCTTACAATGCAGCAGTGCCTGTGGGTGCAGGTGGCACTGAGCATTAGGAGGCAGATTTATAGTCTAAGACTGGCAGCTGCAGGTCTGCAGTGCCTGATATTGCTAAAGAGGGAATGAGTCGTACCACAGTATTGAATTATTACCATATACCATGGTATTTCTAGTGGTGCAATGTCCAATTAAAGATGCTATCTATAAACATGACTGTAATGTAACTATAACCTAAATTAAATGGCAATACAGTACTTTGACCAAGGCATCAAATGTTTTCGATATGGTATGCCAACGTACTTCAAAAAGTACCATAGTATAAATTCCAAAAACATTGTATTACTAAAGCAATACCACAAAAACAGGGTAACATTTTGATATATATGATAGTATTAGGTGATTACTCCAAGAAAATGTGGACTATGATATCTACAGTACATAGTGATATTGTAACAATAACCTAAATTAAATGGCAATACAGCACTTTGACCATGGTATGCTAAAGTACTTAAAGAATACCATGGAATAAGCTAAAAAGAAAAAAACATGGTAATCTCACAAAAATGGTGGATATATCAAAAATACTTACATTATAAATACAACATTGAGTCTTTACCATGGTAGTTACATAGTACTCCAAGGATGGTACACCAATGTATATCATGACATAAATTCAAAAAGCATTGTACTACCAGAGTAATACCACAAAAACAGGGTGATATTTTTATATACATCGTGGTATCGTGTGATTACCATGGTATCTACACGGTACTCCAAACAACAGAAGAAAAAAAACCTTATGAAACTTAACCATGTATTTATTACAGTAAAAGTGTAAGCATGTTTTTTGGTATATTGATTACCATTTGTATAACCACATTTTTACTACAAATATGATGGTTAATCTATGGTTATTGTAGCAACCCTGTTGAAAAAAACAGCATATGCTGCTTAGGTATGTTTTGAAACTGGGATGCTGGATTGAGCTGGTCCTTATCTGGTTTAAGCTGGTCCTTAGCTGGTCATGTGCTGGTCCTAAACTGGTCCGACCATCTAAGGACCAGTTTAAACCAGCATAAACCAGCAAAGGACCAGCATAAACCAGTAAAAGACCAGCTTAAACCAGCATCAAAACATACCTAAGCAGCATATGCTGTTTTTTTCAACAGGAAAACCATGGTTAATTTGATGTCACCATGGATTAATGGTTAATTTTCATAAGGGACAGTAACTATAAGCTAAATATTAATACAGTATTTTGACATATATTATGACATCAGTAGTTCACTATACCGAAATCCAATCTACTTTTAAAGAATATCATAGTATAAGTTCAAAAAACAATGTATTACCATGGTAATACTACAAAACGGGGTAATATTTTGATATATATTATGGTATTATTGAGTGATTACCATGCTAAAAACATGGTAGCATGTCCAAAACTACCATACTGTATATATATATAAAACAGCAAAATGCATATACAATGATATTTACATGATAGTCTAATATATCTGTTCATAACAATATCATGGTAATTTCCTATATACCATGGCATTTACACGCCACTCCAATGTACTTGAAAAAATACTAATATTAACATGGTATGTTACAAAATACTCAAAGAGGGTGAGCAAAGAATCAAATGCCAGTTGATTTCAGAGTGAAATGGGGTGTTGAACAGAGACTTGGCTTAAGCCTGCATCTGTGCTGCCCATTAGACTAAACAGACCTGACCTGTCACTGTTGTGTCTGGTCATCGGTCTGTCTGGAGCAGCTTTTGACCAGCACAATCTGTCAGCCGTGGCCTCATGGGCATAACAAGCCATCACACACACGGCGTGCCAAACACAATCAGCGTCCACAACAGCTGTGAAATGTTCTTTTCTCAGTTACATGATGAATCATGCTGACCGGACCTGAATACATCAGCTCGGTCTCCAGATAGGGAGGAAAAAGGGGCGTGTGCAGCAATCTGCACTACCAGATCAATAACACAAATATCTGAATGACTTCAATGACTGGACTCTTCATACTGGGGATGAGGACAAGCAAAGCACATCAACAAATCATAAATGATCATCTCAGAAAAAGCATTTTTTCGCCACTTATGGCAACAATGAGAAGTGTTAAGTGTTAAGACACAATATGAATCAAACCTTGTGATTACTGTACCAGACTACAAAACTAGTATTCTGACATTTATCAATGATTAAATAATCAGTTTTTTTTTAGTTTTTTTTTAACCACACATTAACATTACACCAGGCTATAAATATTTTTAAATACACACAGTCTCACATAAAATAGATTAGTTTATAAAAAAATATAATTAATAGGGAATAATAATACCTAGCAATATATATATATATATTTTTATAAAAACAATACAAAATTAAATATGTTGTAATATATTTACATATGCATTCATACAACACACAAAAAAGACTGAACTCACCCAACATCAGGCACTGGACAGACGCGACTGACATCTCTGCGGCTTTAAATGATAGTGTTTCAGTTCGTTCGCATGTGCATCATATGTGACCTCAGTGTGCGCTGGACCAGACGCACTAACACGAATTAATCATCGGAACTGAGCACAAAAGGTCAGTTGTCGGGCAGACGAAGCGTGATGTGACTGCGAGGAAAACAGGTTCGTTTGCTGCTCTTCTTGCAGTCAGTGGATTTGCAGCGATAGATTAAGGATTTTGGAGGGTTTGATTCCTGGCGCAGTGACTGCAGGCGAGCCGCTGCAGCGACGCAGGGTCCTAAACCCCGCCGGACAGCACGATGGAATCCTGACGTCGGCCAATCAGAAAGCGCCGATTATGATTAACCACGCCCATTCCACACAGCGCATAATCAAACAAGATTGTAAACAGTAGTGAAGTATTTTTACTCTGCTGTAAAAGTACCTTTCAGGTGTCAGTACTTTATCAGTGTTTTTTTAGAAAACTTTACTTCACAACATTCCAAAGCATAATATTACACTTTTTACTGCACTACGTTTCATTTTAAATATCATTTAATACTTAATTACATTAGAAATCTATTACTTTCTTTATTTTACTCAAGTAAAAGTAATTGAAAGATTTACTTGCGTACAAGAAAGTACTACATTTTTAATGTACTTAAGTATGAAAGGTAAAACAAACAACTTTTATGTATGAAATGTAGTGCAGTAAAAAGCAAGACGTTATGCTTTGGAATGTAGTGAAGTAAAAGTTTTACAAAGAAAAACACTGATAAACTACAGATAATTTTACATTTTCTTGAGAAAAGTAAAAATACTTCACTACTGTCCGCCTCTAATTGTAGTGAAGTACACCGTTCAGCCATGTAAAAAATCTAATTTATTAAAAACAAATTACATTTTTATTTGCTTTCGGTACGTTTTGCGAGCTTGTTTCTGCAAACTGAAAATAAAGGTAGCTGTAACGGTTTATCTTAAAATTATGGCACTTTATTCCTCACAATTTGAACTTTTCTCAGAATTGCAAGTTTATAACCTCACAGTTGAAAGTTTACATCTCACAATTCCGTTTTTTCCTCGCAACACGAACGCGGAATTCTGAGGAAGAAAGTCAGAAGTGCGAGTGTAAACTCAGAATTTTGAGGGGAAAATGAAAATTGTGAAATAAATTCAAAATTCAGAGAGAAAAAAAACAAAAAAAGACATTTGCGACAAGTCAGAATCTTGAGGGAAAAGTCAGAATTTTAAGTTTATAACATATACTTGCAATTCTAAGGGGGAAAAAAAATGAATTGTGAAAGTCACAATTACCTTTTTAATATTTTTACTCATGGGTGCAAAAAAGCATCTTTAAGTAGAGATTACATTACTATAATTAGGGATGCACCGATATGAAAATTTTGGCCGATACCGATAACAGATTATTCTTTATTTTTGAAAGCCAATAAAAAAACAAATTTAGGGCATATTTTATTTACATATATATTTAAGCATTATATGCATTTTTAAAAGGTGTGGAAATATATATAAACATTTAAATGGGCATACTTTACTTGAATACTTGATTTCGCTATAATAACAAAAGATGTAGCTGTCGTGTCGCTCCAGCAAAAAGAATACATTTTAAGAGGGTATCTTTTATTTAGACACATTTTTTTAACTGACACTAGAGAAATTTCAAGAATGACAGCCAACAAGACTGCGTGAGCCAAGCAGATCACTACAACCGTAATGACTACGGTAACAAGTTCATGAAAGGACCAAAAACAACATTCAATCCGACAACTGCATGACGGAATATATACAAGTCCAAGGGATTCTACGCAACTCCTTGCAAACAAATCCAAAACGAATGCCTAGAACTGCTGTGCGATGAGCTTTTTCTTGGCGTCGTGGGAGAATCTGTTCGAGCGGAACAACTCGCTGTCGTAAAACGCAGACAGGTTGTGGATGTTAATCTGTCGGGCCTGAGGACAAAAATGGTGGCATTACAACTCAAATTTGCGAATGACACGTGTAATATCTCTGTAATATAGTACTTATGGGGACTTTTCGATTTAAACATCTATTAGTTACCTTGTCCACCAGATCCTTCTCAGGAATCTCGATGGTGTCCTGCTGGGCTCCGTAACGGTTGCGCTGATATGCGACCTGCTCGGAAACCAGCTGCTTCAGGATGAAGAGCAACAGCTCGTTGTTGTCTCGTCTGAAGGCCAGATACCGTGCGAACGTCTGTAGAAATGCAATAAATGCGACTTCGGTTACCAACTTGAGCAGGATCAGACAGACTCCTTGCAATCGCAAGACATGCGCAGCGAAGTACACATGGAAAACCGTTGCCAGATCAGTTTGCTCACCTTCCGCATGCTCCTCATCACGCTGAACTTCTGCGTGTCGATGAAGCTTTCCAGCATGACACGGATAGCCATGTTCACGTCGTCCTCCAGCACATAGTCCCGCAGATGCATGCGGGCGTGTGCCTCGGCCATGCGGATCATGGACTCTATGTGACGCACGGTGATTGGGATACTTCCCGTAGCCTGCAATACAACATACATGATTACTCGCTGACATTTCAGTGATAACTACACCCAGATGGACGCATTTTTTGTGCACATTTTGGGGGAAAAAAAACTGCTGAATGGTTTGAAAAATTGTGGAACTTCTTCAAATTGCCTTTAGCTTCAAATGCAACTCTTACCATAGACTCTTTTCGAAGGTCGCTGTAAATTCGGGCCACTTTGTCCTGGTCCATCCGATTAAGTTTTGGTCGCACGCGTTCTTTCGCATACATGATGTACTTCCTGAGCAGCTCCTGAGGGATGGGTGGGACATCGAAGGTGTTTGGCAGCACCACCTCCTCAAGACTGGCCACGCCCCCTTCTTTGTTGCTCGGGTGATGTTTGATGTGGCTGCTTACCACGAAGCGTGCCAGCATCTCATCCTAAACCGAAGAGAATTATGGGTAAAGAGATTGGCAAAGTTTGGGCAGGATGTGTTTACACAACAACAATGTACTAAAAGTGGCAAGGTTAGCCTTTTTGAAAAGTTTCGCGTACAGACGACAACGTTGTCAAAATAATCCCCATTTACACGGATCTGCGAAAATGGCTAAAAATGCTGTATGCATGCCAGGCCAGTAGATGGCAATGTCACATTGCAAAGAAACAATACACACCTGCGCATGTACCTATAGACTGAACACGTCGCAGTTTTCACAAATTTGTGTTTCTGTAGTTTACACAGAGACGATAACGGTATCGTTTTCCAAAACCGGCCCTTTGAAAACCAACAGTTTTCAAATGTTCACATCTTCAGGCCCCCAAAAAAAGTAAATGAACAGCCAAAATGCATAAAAAGTTTTACATTTTCAGTTGAAAACGCAGTGTTAACGCCCCTAAGACATCAACGGACTTACCTGCACAGGGTCGACGGTGTCTCTTACAACACACAGAACGTCAAATCGAGAAATGATGGGCTCTGTCAGGTCCACGTTTTCCGAGAACGTGAGCGACGGGTCGTAACGCCCACCTTTTAAGAGAAAGAACACTTTCATAAGAAAAATTACTGCTGCCAAAAACTTTGCTGCAACTTTTAGTCCAGCAGCAAGTAATTAAGAACATGACTGTGCTTCAGATTAAACACGCAACTCTTGAAGTGTTTGAAGTGTCTCAAAATTGAAGTTATGACCCTCATTTAAACTTTCATTAAAACGCTCCCAGAACGCACCGATAGGGTTGGCGGCAGCGATGATAGTGCAGCGAGCCTGCAGCGATGTGACAATCCCAGCTTTAGAAATGGAGATGCTCTGCTGCTCCATGGCCTCGTGGATGCTGGTCCTGTCCTGATCGTTCATCTTAAAAATGAAGAAAACACAGGTTCACTAAACTATTCGCCTAAAAATTGCTTGTCCAAAAATTGGTGGAACAGTGCATCAAAAACGTCTTTAAAGCTATAACCTTTCCCAACTCAACACACGGCACCAATTTTAACATTCGCTCACCTTATCAAACTCATCAATGAGGCAGACACCTCGGTCCGCCAGCACCAACGCTCCCGCCTCCAGCGTCCACTCTCGAGTCACAGGATGACGTTGCACGTAAGCCGTCAGACCCACGGCGGAAGCGCCCTGGCCTGTAGTGAAGACCGCGCGACTCGAAACCTTCTCGACGTACTTTAGGAACTGGGACTTGGCTGTGCCTGGATCTCCACATAGGAGAACGTTAATATCACCACGCACCTTGTGCTTCCCACCTGTTTAGGGAGCCAGAAGACAATTGAGCAATTTAAAGGACTCAGACGTGTAAATTAACAGCTGTGAAAGGAGCATGAGCAGGATACCTGGATTCTTGGCTTCGCCGCCAAACAGAGCAAGCGCCAGACCGCGTTTGATGTCTTCGTGCCCATAGATGGACGGACCAATACTTGCGAAAATCTGTAGGAGGAAAATTAAGCTTAATCTGGGAAACGTTACGATATACTCAGAAGTTCAAGCTCAAACTTTGATATGTGACCATCGCTCACCCGTTCTCCGATGCGCTCGTCTTTGGACAGAGCCATGATGGCTTTGATGTCTTCATCAGTGAGCTCCGCCACGGCCACGCCCTCATCCTTACGGGCGATGTGATTGGCCAGGATTACAGTAGCGAAGACAGGGAAGCCGTTAGCCATGTTGAGAGAGCCGTCGTAGTTGTTGTGGTAGATTCCTGTGAGCTCCTGCAAAAATAAACCATTTGAGGATATACAGTATTTAAATATATATTAAAAATGATTACTTGCAATGTTATATAGTGGAAAAATAAATAAATACACATTTAGATGGACACATTTTGCTTGAATATTACTTATTGTGATATAAATATAAGTTGTTGTGATTAGGGTTGCAAAGGGGTGGAAAATATCCGGAAACTTTCCAAAAATCCCTGGAACATTCCAAAAAATCCTGGAAAATGTCCAAAATTTCTGGAATATTTCCGAAAATTTACTGTAAATGTTCCACCTTTTTGCAACCCTAGTTGTGATGGTAGATTCCTGTGAGCTCCAGCCAAAATAATAAAAACAAATTTAGGGCATATTTTATTTACATATATATTTAAGCATTATATGCATTTTTAAAAGGTGTGGAAATATATATAAACATTTAAATGGGCATACTTTACTTGAATACTTGATTTCGCTATAATAACAAAAGATGTAGCTGTCGTGTCGCTCCAGCAAAAAGAATACATTTTAAGAGGGTATCTTTTATTTAGACACATTTTTTTTTAAATGTTATATAGTAAGAAATAAAATATCA